CAACGGGCAGTTGGACTTGTTCCCCTTCAACAACATCCTGAGCAGGTAGGCAAGCTGGCCACCAAGTTCCAAACTTACTCAACTTGCTGAAGGGCTTGTTCCCTGTGTCCTGCATGTGGTCCATAAAGTTTACCTTTTCAGCTTGGCCACTGAGAAGCTCAAGTTTGAGGAGGGAGAGACTGTGAAGGTAATCGAGAAGCCTGGGAATAACCAGGAGAGGTGGAAATGCAAAACCGCCTGGGGGCAGGCAGGCCTTGTCCACCCAACTAGTGGTGGTGCTCAGCCATGGGCCTGCCCTCTCCACGTTGCATGCCCCATACATCAGCTACCCGGGGTAGGGGCAGCGGGTGCTTTGCAGACAGAGAGTGGTACTATGGCAATAACACAGCACCAGGCCAGGTGCGTCCTCAATGAGGGGTGCTGGAGGGCGACATCCTCATTGGGGACAGGGAATCTTCACCCAGTGACTTGTCATGTGTCTCTCAAAGCACCAGGAAAGAACGAACATTACAAGGTGCAGCTTGTGAAGCATGTCAACTGCATCAGGCAGCGGCAGTTTCCCACTATGGACACTACAGAAAGGCCCCCTCCTCACCGCGGGCATGGGGAGAAGCTGTACCTCATCAGAGCGCTTCAGTGATGTCCTCCCAGGGCCCGGCCACCTCTGGGCCTTGGTGCCACACTTACTTCCCTAGCGCTGAGCTGGTGGCTCCAAGACATGGTGGGTCACCTGCTCTCCTGCAGCCCCTGTTCTGTCCAGTGGCTCCTCCCCTACTGGGGTCCTTTGCCTGGTTGATGTTCTGTCCAGGTTCTTTATTTCCAACTGCCTCCCCTTTGCCATCCCAGCCCCTCATTCCAGGGTTCAAGGCTGCCCCTCCTACTGTGGTTAGTTTTAGAGAATGAAAGATGGAAGAGGGCAAGTTTGTCCAGTTTATCTTCTCAATTAGAAACAGCCATACACTCTTCAAAGTGTTATGCTGTCAGCACCCCTCAGTAAAGACAGGTGGCCCAGTGGGGATGCACTGAAGCTGCTCTTGGTGAAGTGACCTAGGTTCACTCCAAGGTGAAGGTCCCTGGTCCAGCAGACCTTTTTGGTGTCCTTTACACACACACAGACACACACACACAACACACACACTACACACACACACTGTATACACACACACACACTCACACACACAGACACTATACACACACACACAGTACACACACACTATACACACACACACTCACACACACAGACACTATACACACACACACACACACACACTCGCTCACTCACGCACAATACACACACACACTCACACACACATATGCATAACTTTTTTTTACAGGGAAGTTTTTCAGGATTTACAAAGAATATGTGATTGGTAATAAGAGACATAGAAAGTTTATGAAGGAATTGCATTCTGTTTTCTTTACATATTTACTCCTTTATCTTTTCAACAACAGTCTTGAGATGGTACATTCCTACAGTTGAAGAAGGGGTCTTGACACCTCCTAAACCTGCATGCTGATTCTTCTGGCTATTGTAGTAAGAAGTAGTATGACAAAACTATGTGTGATTTATCTTAGGTAAACTCTGACTCATTGATAGGACAGCAATGACTGAGCATTTACTATATACTCAGTGCCTGAAGGGAGGAGTTTAGCACATGTATTACTTGTGTGTGTTTTTTTCTGTCACAACATTTTTTATTATGTTGAAGTCATAAATTTAATGAGTGAAACTCCAAAAGGAAAAAAAGAAAAAAAGTATTTAAAACAGCTAAAATAATTTGGAAATGGATACACAATATAAAAAATGTAAATTGTGACAGCAAAAACAAAAATATGGGGGAGTAAAAGGGTAGATTTTTGTAAGTGATTGAAATTCAATTGTTATAAGCTTAAAATAGACTAATAAGTATAAAATATTTTATGTAAGTGTCATGGTATGCACAAAGCAAAAACCTATAGCAGATACACAAAACATAAAGCAAAAGGAATCAAAGCACACCACTATAGAAAACCATCAAGCCCTGGCCATATGGCTCAGTTGGTTGGAGTGTCTTTCCATACACCAAAAGGTTGCTGGTTTGATCCCTTGTCTGGGTATGTAGGGGAGGCAACGGATAGATGTTTCTCTGTCCCCCGCCCTACTCCCTCTCTCAAAATCAATAAAAACATATCCTTGGGTGAGGATTAAAATGGAAAAAAAGAAAAGGAAAAGAAAATAATCAAATTACACAGAAAAACACCAAGAGAGGAGGAAAGGAATAAAGGAAGCACATAAAGCTATAAAAACAATTGACAAATCCTTCCCTATCAGTAATTACTTTAAGTGTAAAATAATTAAATTCTCCAATCACAAAACATAGAGTGGCTGAATGGATAAAAAAGTAAAAGCAAACCAACAATAAAACCCAAGACCTGACTGTTTGCTGCCTGCAAGAGACTGGCTTTGGCTTTAAGGACACATATAAGCTAAAGGGAAGGGATGGAAAAAATGTTCAATGTAAAAGAACACCAATGAGAGCAGGAGTAGCAACTATTACATCAGACAACAGAGCTTGAGCTTCTGACCATCACTGCCAGGGCCTGGGGCAGGAGGAGGGAGAGTGGCACAGAAGGAAGGGAAGAGAAAAGGGGACATGGAAACTGGGGGTGGGGTCCTCACAAAGCAGCAGCAGGGTGGAGGGAGAGATCACTGGGTCTAGGTTCCAGCCCTGGGTGTTTCCAAGTGCTGTGTGAGCGTGGATTTGGATGCTGGGATGAAAAGAGAAAGAGGCAAGGGTGTAGCTGAGATTTCCAGCCCAGGTGGCTCCCTCTATATGTGGAGGGTGAAATCAGAGAAGTCAGGAGAGGGTTCTGGCTTGAGCTGAGGAATAGGCCTACCCTCCTCTTGAGGTTCAGCTAGAGAACAGAGTCCAACTTTGAACTTTCTGGACCAACCAGACCTCAGTTCAGAGTTATCATGACCCAAGCTGTGCCTGGCCAAGGACCATGTTATCATGGCAACTGGTTGGGTAAGATTCACTGCCTGGATGCATAGGCCTGAGTTTACCCATCTTTCATATCAGAGAGGGTGTAACCTCAACACTGAAATGTTCCTGAAAGATCATTTCTAGGCCTACTGACCCCACCACCGCACTTGGGCTCCTCCATCCTTCTTATGGAGTTCTCTTGGCCCAGGTCCTCATGCAGCTCTAGGCTCACCTGGCTGGGAACCCACTTGCTGCCTTGCAGCCCCACGTGGGGCCTCAGGACAGCTCAGCAAGGATCACTTTTCCAACTCTGTCCACATGTCAGGCAAGTGTTTCAAATTCTCTCTGTCTTGGAGGACCCAGGACTAAGGTCAAAGAATTTCAGCAGCTTGGTGGAGGTGAACCCTCGGGGGGAGTTCTGCTTGGGTGGAATTGGGGAGTAGGGGGATGGGAGCAATTGGGCTGTGGGAAGGAGATTAGGGGTTGATGCTTGCTAGCAGGATGGGCAGGAGCCAGGGCATTGAAACTGGGGGTATTCAATGGAGAAGAACTGGGCTGGCAGTTAGACAGACATGAGCAAAGCAAGGACGATAGGCCAGGTACAGAGGTCACCAGGGTGGAGAGCTCTGGAGACCTAGCAACGGGCCAAACTTGGAAAACAAGGACTTCAACCCCAGGGTAATCTTCCTTCCCCTGGCATATCACTGATTATGGGGTTTGGACTCCCTGACCTTTCATATCTCTGGCCATGCTGTTCAGACCCCCTGTTATGAAAGGTCTGGTCTGACCCCACTGGTCTAACACCTGGTGCTATTCTCACAGTCAGTCGTAGTCAACAGCTGCTGTTCATTCCTCCCTAGAAATAACATCTGGGTGTCAGTTGTATTTCAGCTCCAGGCCCAGAAAAGCAGCCAAACCACTCAGGACCATCTGCATTGACCCTTTGCCCTGGTACAAACCAATCAGTGGAGACCACAACCCTGAAAGGACCCACTTGGAAAGCTGATGGATATTCTATTGAGATCCTCCCTGGGATCTCCCCTAAGATCTCCACTCTTAAAAACTTTTAGGATGGAGGACCCAGTGCGCTCTCCCTCCTGGGAGCATGCCCATGCCTTTCCGCACCCATCCCCTCCCCTTCCATCCCCCATTGATGTTAAGTCGGAGAGAGCCCAGGATCAGATGCATGCAGACATGTGATGAGACAATGGACTCCCCCTGGCATGTCTAACAGATCAACATGCCAGACACAGATACTGGCTTCTCCCTGAATCAACACCGACCCCCACACAGATACTGACTCATTCTTGAATACCTGGCTGACCCCCCTGCAGCTGAAACTTCCTCAACTGAATACCTCAGCTCATGTCCCCGCCCCTCACCCAACCACAGTATAAAAAAAGCGCCCCCCTCCCTGTTGGTGTGAATCCACATGCCCTGTCTTTGGGGGTACGTGGGTCTCCTGGGGACGCAGAAATAATGCTTTTCCTTTCCTTTCTTTTCTGATTTACTGGACTCTCTATTTCTTGCGCCGCCTCCTGAGCCACCTAACCTAACAATTACCATTACCTTTACCTTCCTCACTCCCAAGCTCCAAGGGTCCCTCTTTTGCTTCTGTAAGTTGTTTCCTCAACCCCTTTGTTCTGCCATCCATTTCTCACACCTCTGTGATTTTCTAAGTAAAAATTCTCTTACAGTTTGAGTCTTGGCTCTGAATTCTTCCCTAGTCAGAACTCTAATTCCAAGGTTGGTGAGCCAAGGTCCGGTCTGACCCCAGTGGTCTAACACCTGGTGCTGTTCTCGCCGTCATGGTCAACAGCACCAGAAAACAAGAGACCGGTCTTAACTAGGCGAGGTCAGGAGGAACCAGCGAGCCCACTGCAGCCTGCCCCACCCTCTTATTGGAGAATGGTGCCCTGACACTGCCCAGCAACTGTCCCGATCTGGGCTTCAGGAACTTTGCGTTTCTGGTTCTGCCTTTACCTCCCCATATATGTCATGACTCCTCTCTGTGCCTCAAGTCCCCTCACATGAGGCTGAGAGCCTCTGCCACCCACAGCTGTTAGTAGTAATAATATCGCAGGGGCAGCAATAGTTCACTGAACAGTTCAAAGAATAGTTCATTGAGCACTTACTAGGAAGTGGACTCTGGTAGGTGTCTAACATGGATTACCTCTTTACCCTCCTACAGTCCAGGGGGCAGGCTCCTACCCTCTCATTTTATAGATGGAGAGAAGATGCAGAGAGCAGTGAAGCGACTTGCCCAATGTGGTCATGGGAGGACGGGAACTTGCTTTTCCCCGACTCCCTTCTGTGCTTATAGCACAAACCAGGCAAGTGGCCTCTTGGGAGGTGGGTGTGAAACCCACATCCTCCCTGCTGGTGCTCCTGAGAGCCAGCCTCTTGTCTCTCTGGCCCTCTGAGTGCTCCCTCCCAGGTGCTGTGAGAACCCATGGGTTGCTGGGAATGCACTTGGCATTCTTCCCCCACAAACCTCTTAGCTGCAGTCTAGTTTGAGCCTGGATCCCCGCTTTGACAGGGCAGTCCCCTAAAAAAGGTCTAATTGGGTTCAGTGGGTTGTGCGTGGGAAGGATATCAACAGCAGGAAGAGGGGTATGTCTACTCACCTGACTTCATAGCTGGCTCTTTCTGGGCTCGGGCACACAGCTCGCTCAAGCCCATCTGCTCCCAGGTCTGCAGAGCAAGGTCCCAGGCCTGCTGCTCCCCGTACTGAGCCACAAGGTGTGAGGCCACCTCCATGCCACCCACCTCCTCTGGTTGCACTGGGGTCGCCCCAGGAGAGTGCTGGCAGAGATGCTTATCAGGCAGCCGCAGCAGGAACTCCCTCAGCTGCTCCTTGTTCATACACTCTAACATCCGGGCCAGCGGCTGCTGGACTCCATGGGCCATCTCTGCTGCACTGGCCATGTCTGTTGCACTGGCCATGTTTGCTGCACTTGTCTCAGTTCCGACTCCGAGGGCCTCAGGGATGTCCACTGGGGAGGGGGTGGGTGGGGAGGGCATTAGGTAGGCAGAGAATAGCAATCATTCTTGTCCCCTACCATATCCCAATACCAGACTCCCCCCGGGGTCATTACTGGTTCCCTGGCAAACTCCTCTTAAGCACTACAAACCCATTTTTGTAATCCTCTTGGTTTCTTCCAATAGATGATGCTGGGAGAAGGGAGGTTAAGGGAAGAGGCAGGGAAAGCCATAAAGGGAGGAACCCAGAGAAGGCAGAGACATTTGCAGAAGTCAGGCTACTGAGATGCTGGGGTGGGGGCAGTGAGAAGAGTGAAGTGGTGAAGATGGGAGGATGGGATCTTCAGGACACTCACCGTTCTGTGCTCTTCAGTCTTCCCTACTGTGAGACCCGGAGCTCTGGAGCCACCTTGAGCTTTAATGCTGACAGGAGATGGGGTGAGGGGAGAGGCAAAGCACAGGGTGGATTTTTAGATCCCAGGGTGGAGCTCAGAGCTGCTTCTCCCAGGTCTCTTCAGAATGCTCCTGGCCCTAGGCAACCAAAGGGCAAGAATGCCCTCACCCAGCCAGAGCCTGAACAAAGGGTGTAACCAGGGGAGGGGTGGAGCCAGGACAGGCCTGAAGAGCTTGTACTTCTTAGAGCAGGGGTGGGCAAACTTTTTGACTCGAGGGCCACAATGGGTTCTTAAACTGGACCTGAGGGCCGGAACAAAAGCATTGATGGAGTGTTTGTGTGAACTAATATAAATTCAAAGTAAACATCATTACATAAAAGGGTACGGTTTTTTTTTTTTTTTAGTTTTATTCATTTCAAACGGGCCGTTGTTTGCCCACGGCTGCTCTAGAGTCTAGGCTCTGCTCAGGCTTCCTCCACATTCGAGGAAGGTGTCCCTAACGACCTAGCTACAGGTGGGGAGAGGAGCTTGCCCAAGGTCACACGACAGGTGCATGGCAAGACTGGAATTTCATCTTGACTGTGCATTTGAACAGCCTCAAAGATGGTGGAGAGGATGGCCTCAGAGTACTTCAAAGAGGTGTCAATAGTTTAGCTTATAGGGAAACCGAGGCAAGAAGAAGCTCAATTAGATGTAGATAGACTGGGTTTAAAGGTTTTTGGTCTTTAAAACATCAACTTCAGTGGGGACAGTATTGTTGGTCTCCTTGTCTCCTTTTTGCATCAAAGTCTGGAGTTAGTTTTGTTGTGGCTATTCTCAGGATAGATCTGAGGTGTTCGTCAGTTAAGCTGGATCTGTGAGGGGCTTTGTTGATGTTCATGACGCTAAATGTCTGCTCACAAACATAGGTTGACCCAAACAGCACCAGTATCTTCTGTGCCATCCTCCGGATGTTTGGAAAAGTGGCTTCATTAAGTGAAGCATAAAAGTCTCTTAGTTCAAGAGAGCTGAATTTCTCCTTTAGGACAAAGTCAGACTGAAGATCGATGAGTTCCAGTTGCACCTCTTCTGGTGCTGTTTCAGGGTTTTGTGACAAAGGACAGGCCACCAGTTGAAGTGACTGGTCAATTTTTTCAACATCAGAAAACCGACGACAGAATTCTGCATGCAGGTCATCCAGTGATTTGCTGTATTTCTTCACGTTTTGGATGGTCTCCTTCTGTGTGGCTAGTGTGGCAAAATGAGTGAAGACTTTGTCTGAAATTTGTCTGGAAAAGAAAATCAGCTTCGATTTAAAGGCTTTCACATTAGTGTACATGTCATGTACATACTGATCTTTTCCCTGTAGCTTCACATTTAGCTCATTCAAATGTGAAAATATATCTACAGCAAATGCAAAGTCACACAGCCAATTCTTGTCACTCAGCTCAGTAAATTCGTCAGACTTCCCCTTTAATTTCAAAAATGCACCAATCTCTTCTTTGAGCTCCCACACTCGTTGGAAAACTTTGCCCAAACTCAACCAGCGGACACGAGAGTGGTAAAGTAAGTCGTGGTGATCCGCATCAGTTTCCTCCAGAAACTTAATAAACTGAAGGTGCTGAAGTCCCTTTGCTCGAATGAAATTAACAAGCTTTAGGACTGGATTAACAACATGATTAAGTTGTAATATAGACTTGCACAATGATTCCTGGTGAATAATACAGTGAAGAAAAATAACATCTTGGTTAGGGTTCTCCTCTTTCACTTTATCCTGAATTCTTTTTAG